TATATTATGTTACATCTTACCTAAGTCAGAAAGTGTTTAGGCTTGTGTAAACACGAAATGTGTTAGGCACGTTGTAACCAACAACGAGAGAATAAACTCCCCGGCCAGACCGACATGTGAATTGTCATTCTCCCATTAAATAACGCAAGATACTACAGCTAAGACTGAGGAAGTAGCCGATAGAATGGGGTGGTTGCTAAGAGGAGTTATGCTGAGGCATTAGCAGGGCCATGGGAAGTGGCGGAGAGTAATGCAAGATCAGAACAGGTTTTACTGTACTGCGCACATCATTGTCATTCCTAAAAACCCCATTTAATTCATATTACGCTATATAACATTCAAATCCACCGCACTTGTAGAACCTCAGAAAACGGGAAACATTGATAAAGGATAACTCACCTACTCAATGTTACTAGACCATGTGTTGTATTGTACCCAGGTACAGTTATATCATATTAATTGTATGTATTCATAGCATTAAGGAGAACTCAGGGTATCCATAAGATGAATGTTAAAGTCCAGTTGAGCCGGACTAGTGTACTGTAGGACTAAGTGTGGATCAGGGTTTGAAGGTCATACTATTTACGTCTGAGCGTGTAGCGAACATAACTTCCACAGATATCATATGAAAATACATGAGAACAATGATCTGGAAAAAGGATAATGTATCAGAACTATGTGAGGTGTTGGAAGTGATCCAGAAACTATACTTGAAAGGAAATATCTTATATGCGTCGGTATGAAGTTAATACACCTCGTAGCCTCACGTGACATATACCCACGACAGGTACAGTGATCAGAGAACCTTATGTCTGTGTTCAAATAGTGCAATGTGTGAGAGGAGGATCCCTCATTACAGTTTTAAGTGAAGTTGATACATCCCCGCCATGAACATTCAGCCTTTGTTTCAAGGTGCGTCATGTACCCGCCTCGGGTGTGCCGCGTTGATATTATAATCCAATGAATTTACCCACGAACTAGCAAACCAAGACCTTACCTTAGTGTGTAATTTAGGATTAAAATATGTGTTTATACGGCATGAGTGACAATATTCCGGAAAGTGTTCAGGTGAGAACTGTAAGAAATAAAAGTAAAAATTAAAGATTGGAAACTGCAGGCCTACGCGGTGAGGAGCGGCGGGGCACTGCCCTCAGTACCCTCCGTTCTACCATCACCTCAGGTCAGTGTCCTATCGGGCTATATCCCGCCCAATAATTAAGGTTTATATAGAAGTTATTACAGTTTAAAGCTTTGCCTGATATATAAGTGTAATAGTAACGTGTTAGGGGGTGTGATAACCGCCCGTCAGGCATTATTTCTCAGTACCCTCCATTCTACCGTCACCTCAGGTTCCATGCGGTCGGAGTGCCTTGCTGCCCGGCAGCCATTATCCCTATGAGCGTCCCAATAGGTGGTGACTACTCCCAGCTATGCCAATCCACTGTGAACCTGTGGATTCCCAGCACACCACTCCAAATGAGTAGTAACAAATAAGGAGACCGTGAGAAACTCTGCGGTCGTCACTTGGAGCGACCTATAATACCAGGCGTAGAAATAGTACTGGTATGTCTCTAGGTGAAGCCCTCGTCTTTACCCACCGAGGGTGGTGTGCGAACGAGGTACCTGTTGTGTATACCTAAAAGTCACAAGGAGTCCCATACCTGCAGGGGTGGAGTGTAACATGTGTGTTGAGATGGTGCTACTATGTATGATAACCGACGGTGCTATATTCCATACAGGTGGAGCAGTCTGATGTGTTAAGGGATAGTGTAAGAAGGAATGTTCGAGGTAAGGTGGTCACAGATGGTTATGCAATAAGTATGTGGATGACACGCCATTAATGTAAGAGTTTGGTGCCCATCTGGGTAACCAACATTTTCGTTGTTCTTCCGAGGAAGACCAATTCATGTGTATGTTTTTTACCAGTATGCTTTATAAGGAATAAATTAATTAAGACATGTTATGGTTTCACCCTTCTTTCCCCTTATCGATCTGGTCAACAGGGCCGGTGCAAGATGATTTGGCGCCCTAGGCAAGCCTTTAGATGTGCGCCCCCTTGAAGGTTTTGATAAGCTAATGTAGGTACACTGGTACAGTAACCCATGACTACATTGTTTTCATATTGTGGCTTTATTACTTCACCCATGCAAATAACCAATTATTGTTATTACATTAAGTCAATAAATCCTTGACGTAAACTTCAGAGGTCAGGTAACCTTGCCTCATCCCGACAAAGACAGGGAAGGGGCGGCTCAGCCGCCCTGGCAGTAAGTGGCAGTAAGGGAGGGGAGGGGATGGTGGGGTTGGGAGAAGGGTTCCTCAGATGTCAGCCTTCAGGTCACTGCTCGACAGTTCTCCAGGCCGCCAAAGATAAGGACCCGGGTTAGTCCCTCCGGGGGGTTAACGAATAATATTAAAAAAGAAAACACAGTCGGCTACCGTCTACCTACCCTCGCCTCCCTCCGACCCTCCACGGCTCCACCACAGTGTCCACCACAGTTTTCCCTTCATTTTTAATTATCCAAGTTTGCCCTGAATTTGTGGCGCCCCCAGATGTTGGCGCCCTAGGCGATCGCCTAGTGGGTAGCGCCGGCCCTGCTGGTCAATGGAAAACCTAACCCAATGCCTAGTCCACTCTGCACGCTACCTAACGAGCTACATGCTGTCCAGAGGGGGTCTGGTGGCAGCGACCCTTAGAAATTAATATTAGAGTTACGTATTTACCCTTAGTATTAGTGACCCCCATTCTGGCAGTATACTACAGCAGCTAGGGACTCTGAAGAAGTGTGTCGAAGAAATGAAAATTAACGGACCTACTGTTAGGGGAGAGGAGGAACAACAGAAACGTTTCCAGTGCAGGAACAATGTAATAGTTTTTGGAGTCCCTGAGAGCCAGGCGGAGGGAACTGAGAGTAAGATAACACACGATAAGATTCAGTTTACGAATATTTGTACAGAGGTTCTGAAGATGCCATCAACCCCTCAGGATGTGAGGAGGCTGGGACAAAAGCAGGGGGATAAGCCTCGCCCCCTCAGGATCACACTAGTGAGTGAGGAGGAGAAATGGGAGGTTATTCGGCAGGCAAAAATCTTAGCAAGGAGCGAGGCATCACTGAGTGTATTCATTCACCCAGATCGCACGGTCATGCAGAAGGAACAGCACAAGAAGCTCCTGCAGGGCTTGAAGCAGAGAAGGGAAGAGTCAAGGAGGAAAGGGACGGGTGTACATGGGCTATATTCAGGGAGAGGGTAGTGGGAGCAAGTGTGCCGACACAGGGCCAGGGGGCAGCAGCGCACTCTCCACCCGCTCTATCCCCCACCCGGGAAGTGGTACCAGCTCCTCCAACAAACCAGGAGGAGGCGAACGCCATGTAAACAATGACATTTCTAACCATACCCTGCAAAATACAGTGTACTTAGCAAATGCTGCAGCTTCTGAGAAGGGGGGGGGGGGCGTTTTTACTACTAAGAGCAGAGATGTTACCGAGAACAAATTCTGGCTTGAATGTCATGTACACTAATACTGACTCATTCCTCGATAAGAGAGAGGAGTTTCAAACACTACTGAAGGTACACCAACCAGATATTGTAGGAGTTGTAGAACTGTTGTACAAGAACAGGAGAAACGACCAAGAGGAATGTGAGTTCAGTATTGCCGGATATGACTTGTAACAGCCCAATGAGCGACTGTGGGATAATGAGACCCTTGCACGTAGGACTCGATTGCTCTTTACTCGGTCAAAACCTGCAGAGTACAAATTACATATGTTACGTTTGAGATAATTAATTCACTGGTACGATTCTTCATTATTAACAACTACATATAACATATTTGAGTAGAGTAGGGTGATAAAACATATATAAACTTTCGTGTTTCGGGTCTAATGTAGGACTTGTTAGCTCACTGGACGGCTAGAGACTATCTTCTGAACTACGCAGAGAGCGAGTTAGTTCCCGAGGCGAGGACCATCTGTTTCACATATAACACCTCATCAAAGTTCGTTGTCAGCACTCCCTCTCTCTCTCTCTCTCTCTCTCTCTCCCCCTTCTAGTTTATCCTACTGTGGCGGTAACATGACTCATTTACAAACCTTTCTCCAGAAACTTGCAAGAGGGGTGGGGCAAGACCTTAGAGCCAGCCAGGCGAGGGTACAGGGATAGGATGTTTTCAAGAGTCCAAGTTGTGTAAAATTAAATTAAAGGGAGGGGACTTACTTATCGTCGGGTCACGGGTGTATCTACAGACCCCCAAACTGTGGCCCACTAAATCAAATGAACTTAAGAGCCTTAGTAGACAGCGTGGCGATGTTCAACCCTAGCCACCTCTCCCTGTACCTCGCCTGACTGGTTCCAAGGTCTTGCCTAGCATAGATAACCACACCCTTCATGCAAGTTTCTTGAGAAAGGTTCGTAAATGAGTCATATCCAGCAATACTGAACTCACATTCCTCTGGGTTGATTCTCCTGTTCTTGTATAACAGTTCGGTGACTCCTTCAATATCTGGTTGGTGTACCTTCAGTAGTGTTTCAAACTCCTCTCTCTTATCAAGGAACTTGTCAGTACTAGTGTACATGACATTCAAGCCAGAATTTGTTCTCGGTAACGTCTCTGCTCTTAGTAGAAACACCCCCCCCACCATTCTCAGAAGCTGCAGCATTTGCTAAGTACACTGTATTTTGCAGTGATTAACAGAGAATTAGCCGACCGTCAAGCAGCTAACAAGCTGTTCAGTAGTGGCGAAGAGGATAAAAGTAAAAGAGTAAGTTACCAACAGAGACGTGACCGACTGTCCAAGCGGCTAGCGAGCCGACCAGTGGCAAAGTCGAAGGGGAAAAGATAAAGATAATATATACACTTATTTTTATATAATGTAAATGAATAATTGATAAAATATATTTCGATATATCGCACTATATATTAACAGCAAAGCAGCATATTTTTTTAGTGATTTAATTTTTTTTTTGTAGGGGACGGGGTGCACTTAAAACAGTGTAGGCTTGTACTCCTTGTAGTACAATCTGTACAAACGTAAACAAATAGACCAGGTTCAAGCGTGTCTGATCTAAAGTCCTTATTTCTCACTTAAAATGCTTGGAAACTGTTCAGTCGAATTTCTAGAAAACGTTGGCTGCTGTCGACGTTGTATACTGATATATCTAGGAGATCGGTCAGACAATTTATACGACAGCTTATCATCGGTGAATGAAACAATCAAGGAGGTTTCTCTCCTAATTTCAACTGAGAATGAAGAGGCAAGTATTATGCATAATCACTAAACCTTACATCCTACGATAATACGAAGTCAATACTGGTACAGATTTTATCAGAAGATTAATCAATTTATAATTTTACTGTTTTTGTTTTGTTTTGCCGTTGATATTCATCCCTGGGCCCGGTGATTGAACCCAGGGCATCCTCAGCAAAACAAAAGTATGAAAGTTGCAATTCCTCCCTTTTTTTAGGGGAGTGGATATTCTAAACATAAGAAAGAATTTTCTTGGGTAAATTTTTCTTGTAGCTCCGTTCACTTGTAGCAAGTTAAAAATATATTTTTCAAGTGTATTTTTGTGTGCTGAGACCGAATATGACCTTCCTTTTTGGCGGAAATTAGCCGGGGTTTTTTTTTAGCGATTTTTTTTCGTTTGACGTTTTCCGAGAAAAAAAAGTGCCTAAGCGACTAACAAATACACAATAAAACACAAGAAAAACAATAACCTAACCTGACCTGACCTGACCTAACTTAAGTGACTCTCACCATATGATGGAATCACCTATTTCTTACCTTATTGGCCTGGTTCTTGTTCGTCGTTGCATTCTAGGATTCTTACCCAACGCCACATATGTTGGTCTTTACGATATTTACATTCAGTCTTGCTCTTAGTACACTTTACTGAGGTTGGAAGAACACCATGCGATCGAAAAAATGCTATAGTTTCTACGTTATTTTTTTTCCAAAAACTCGCAATCAGCTCCATATACTTTAAGTGACACCCATCGCAGACTTCCATGGTCGGAACTGAACTTGAATTTCAAAATATGAGAAACCCAAAATAAAACTCGATTTTGATTGGGCCAAATATATTCTGAATTAGCAAAGACGCTTTTGATTGGCCGCGTGACGTGTACGGGTACGCATGCGCGTCATGATTTATGAAGGAGACGCGAGAGACACAGTGTTAGGTGAGAGCAAGACGATAATGGCGCGATGTTAATGGAAGAAAATAGAAAAATTTTTGGAAGAGCTATTTCCGTTATTATGCATTTCCGCCAGTAATGTAATAGATGAAAATTATCTTATAATTAGACGTCTTATTCGAATATGATAATAGATTAGTGGTAGGAATGAACGGAGCTACAAGAAAATAATACCTTTTCTTGCTTAAGATACCTTAGTCGAGGACATGAATGGAAATCACACACAAAAATAGGTTTTATGTAATTGGTGATGCTTTATGAGAATATGACCTTAATTTGGGGGTAAAATTATTGTTTCGGTTATCCACCTATTTGGAAGTTGTTGAAAATACAATCAAAACCATTGGAAAAACATAATTTTAACTTAACCTGCCTAACATATCCTAACCTAACTTAACCTAACTTAACCTTAAAATCATAAAATTCACTGCATAACTGAAACGATAATAAATCCAGCTTGGGTAATTGGTAAATTTGCATAAATCGCAATATTTCAGTAACAGTTCGTTTCCGATGGAAATGCCAGAGAAAATAAAGTGTCTTAGAATAGTCTGAACTATGTGAAAAACTTATTTTTTACTAAGAAATTGATTTGGGCCCACTAATACAATAATACCTGGTAATTTCTGAGAAGAGCACTACCACCAGGAGTTGTTTGATTTTTTTAATTTTTTCCATAGATGTTCTTATCATTATTATAAGTCTTAATAGGCAACACATTTTTATGTTAAATACTTTATTCGTATTTTTTATTTAGTTTTTCTCTGTCTACGATAATAAATCAACTGTAATGGGCAGGGCAAGAAGGATAAGAGATATTGCAGGGTAAAGCACACTGAAAAACTGATCATATGACATTAAAATGACATCTCAACGTGCTTTGTATGTAAAGAAATTAATTATTTACTTAAATACTCCTCCAAGAATTCTGCCAAGTCATAGCGTATTGTCTGTTTGTTTACAAACGACCCAGTCCGAGTGTACTCTCACATCCACAAAAATTGGTTCGTACCAGATATCAAAAGAAGCACTTTCTGTCCAACATGATTAGGTAAGTTTCTGTGGGTGGTTAGGTCAAGTTCTATTAGGTTCTAGTAAATGTCACTTCTTTTAAAATACTTACTGCAATGATAAGAACATCTATGAAAATTGAACAAAATCAGGTAACTCCTCCTGGTGGTAGTACAGTACTATACTGTTCTCAGACATTACCTTCATTTTTTACAGAAATTAATAATTATGGAGATATGACCCACCCACTCAACCAATGGCAATGAGTGTATAAAATAGGCGGGGTTTGAAGTGAAGAAAAATTGTCAGATAAAAGCATATAAACAACTTGTAGTAAAAGCCAAGTTCCAAAAGATGAGCTTCATTCAACAAAAACCATGATCACCTACAACAAAGAAAAATATATAATTATATACATATATACATAACCCATCAAGCTCAATAACTTATCAGATACAGGAAACATCACTAAAAGGAAATTAACAATAAAATTATCATACAACTGAATCAATCAAACCTAAAGAAACCAGACCTAGGGCCTCATACTCAAAAACATTTACGGGACTGTATCTCTTTGTTTACCCCGTAACTGTACTGACAGTCTCCGATCGGTATACAGGTACTCTTCGACTTATGACCTACTCGACATACGACCGCCTCAGTCGTACCAAAAATTTTTAAAATTACTTACGTATTTTCCAGTACCGAAACGTTTCCGTCCCGTATGAGAGCGTGGCTTGGGCTGGGTCACCTCGTGGTGTACAGCGTCCACGCTATAGTGGCTCAGTTGGTGTTTGGCCTTTGTTGTTGTCGGTAGTGATCTCGCTGTGTTCTGACAATATTTTCAGTATTTTCGGTTCTAATTCCCTTTAAAATGATTGGCAAGAGTAAAAGTGAGAGTTCTGGTGGTGCTCAGAAGAAACAAATGGCAGAGGCATTTGCTACTATTAATAAGGGGATGCAAATGTTTGACGAAATGGATCAAAATGTTGAGCGTTTTGCAAAAGTTGACAGACTGATCCAAGATGCACTTGCTTGCTACAGGGAGATTTACAATGAAAAGAAAAGGCAAACTGTGCAGTCTAAATTGGACATATTTTTTAAGACGTCCCCCACTGCTGTCTCCTCACGCCCCACCACTGCTGCCTCTTCACTCCCTAAAGATGATCCAATACCTTCAACAAGCAAGTACAGGAACTCCTCAACTTACGACCACCCAGACATACGACCGCCGTAGTCGTATAAAATATTTTTCAAATTACGTATTTTCGAGTCCCGACGTTAGTTTTGCGCTGTGTACTGACAAAATTTTTTTTGTAATTCCCTTTAAAATGGCTGGCAAGCATAAAAGTGAGAGTTCTCGTGGTGCTGAGAAGAAAATGAGACACCCATTTTAGATTTTCTATGTATTATTTTCACATTTTCGACTTACGACCTGGTCGTCGGCCCCTAACCCTGTCGTAAGTCGAGGACTGACTTTATGCTATCCTGTCTGAAGAAAGCGAATTTGATGACCCACCCAGCCCTGTCTCCTCCTCTGCTTCATCCAATTACAGTGGTCCCTCGGTTAACGAGCACAATCCGTTCTAGAAGGTTGCTCGTTAACCGAAACCATTGTTTCAATGGGTTTTTGGGTAATTGGTTCCAGCTCACCGAAATTTGCCTAAATTAAAAAAAAAAAGGTAGAAAAGTACACTTACTTTGAGGTGTGTTTGTAGAAGGCTCCTGGGTGATGATGATGATGATGATGGGAATTAGAATGGGGGTGGAGGAGAAGGGAGACGAGAAGGCATTGAGGTGGAAGAGAAGTCACCCCATGGTGCCATTTCACCCATAAAATTTTAGTTCTCTTGGTGTAATTCAAGATTATTTTCTTTAAATCAACACTGCACTGCATTATATATTGTCAATATGTAAAATTTATTTCAAAATGACCAATAATTTGCTTGGAAACACAGAAAAAAAGCATTTAGTTGAAGAGAGTCTCAAGCAAGATGTTACCTCCACTGAAAAGACAGAGAGACTGGCGCCTGTTTCCTGTGTTGACAGGATGGATGGCGTGCATAAAACTAATTTCCTTACCCTCAGTTATGTTCAATAATTGTTAAAATGACTAAAAAAAATATTACAGTAAACTTTTAAATTTATTGAATAGTATAAACTTCTTGATATTTACTAAAATAGTTAGGAATTTAAGCCCTAGAACTGATAACTGTATTGGCGGACTAATACTACAGCTGGTGGACCGCCAAATGCAAGCGAAAACATGTTGAAGTCGGCTCGTAAGATACTCGTTAATCGAGGGATTGCTCGTTAACCGAAGTTAAGAATCTTATGGAAGGTAACTCGTTAACCGAAATCTCGTTAACCGAGGCGCTCGTTAACCAAGGGACCACAGTAATGTACAGTAATCTACATGCTTAATTAAAAATTTATTGAGGCCCCGTGTGCATTCAGCTGACTACATTAAAGGTAAGTGCACAGTAACACTTTATTCATTTTTCATAATTGATTACTTTTACTGTACTGTACAGTAGTACCCCGATTTACACGGTAAATTGAACCCACAGGGTACCGCGTTAAGTGAAATCCGCGTAAAGTGAACAACAGAACATATGGGATTAATTCCAATAGAGACTGGCCCGACCCCCAAACTCTACTTTTTCCGACACAGTACCTATGTTCTAATAAAAATAACATCTTAATTTTATGATGGTACATGCACACAATTAATACTTAAGAGAAATACAGTTGCCAAGTTAATGGACTCAACTCCCTCCCCCTCTTCTCACACTACACTCACTGGCTCTTCCCTCTCTGAGAAATTTTGGGGGGAAAACCACTAAATTTTAACATTTAGTAATAAATAATACCTCAGATTAAAGTTAGGATAATCTAATTGACATTGCTGAATTTCTTGTAAGACCAGGAACATCTTGAATATACAGTATTACCTTTCATTAACGTTTTTCGCATATTGCGGTGCCTTGCCAAAGCTGAACTTTCACTTAACGCGGATTTTTCACAACGCGGTGAGTGTCCGGCT